TCAGTGTGGGAAGTCAGGGACTTCTTCCCCGATTCCCTTCACTGTTCAATTAGTTCGATCAGTACAAGCGTAACCACCTCCTCCACTTGTGGGCGGATTGATATTATACTGTTCACGTTTAGACAAATGTTCGTCCTGATAATGTCTTTGCACGATTACTTGGCGTGACAAAAAAGACGTGACAACAACAACCAATTCCTTCTCCTATTATTCGTTATCCTTCATCACATGCTTGATTGGTGCGTAGTTATTCCAATTGTGATCCACTATTAACCCCACTTGTCTCGGGATAATCACATTAATACCAAGCTTACCGGTTTCCATTGGGCATTACTATGCGTTAATATGCATTTTTACAGCGTCAACAAATTTTATCAAATCTCCACACTGCACGTCGACGACGCGTTTTATTGGTTTCGGTATATGCCCGATTCCTACAACGAAAGGCACTCATTTTGTTGTTTCCGTTCCGAATACGGATAAAGCGAAGATCTCTAAGGCTTTGACTTCCTTTGGATCGTCTGCAGTGTTCAAGTTGCAACCGTTGGAGTCTCTCATCGGTCGCCTGCTTTTCGTCACTCAACTTGACCCAACTTGGGTCACCCAAGTCCTACTTTCAGTATAACTCCACATCAAACTCCGTATTCTTGAAGTCTCTTGATTATCCATCGGCGACTTTGCGCTCAAACAATTGACTACACCCACGGTGGGTGACCCACCCTACAAAAGGGCTGGGGCAGGGCAAAGAGAGTGTTCGCTCACCCCATCTTGTGGTTGGTGCTGGATCTGGGATGGACCACGCTCTCCGCTGAGCTCGTCCAACTCGCTTCCCAACACCCACCACTGTTGAGCAACTAAGCATGATCTAACTTTGACCAACGTTCAATTCATTGGACACGGTCAAAGGAAGAACCATACACTAGTTTGCGCACGCCCGAAACTCATGTACATACGTACTCCTCCACAGCTAATGACAGTTGTTCGGTTGTAACCTCTACCTCAAGTGTTTCATCGACCTTCCACCCTCCCAGATCACTTGTTGTTCAATAGACACACTTCCATGTGTGTTGCGGGATGGGCCACGCTCTCCGCTGAGCTCGTCCAACTCGCTTCCCACGCTCTCCGCTGAGCTCGTCCACCTCGCTTCCACAACTAAGCATGATCTGACTTTGAACATTAATCAAACACCACAGATGAGCATTGAAAGACTTCCTTTACGATGGAATATTTTCTACATTACTATCAAAATAGACTTCACCACCGTCGATAACATCAAATGAATAGAATCAAGTGCCACCGACTTGTTTCTCCTGGTCCATGAAAGTTGTACTGCCAAACATAGCTGCCAGCCTCGTCCACATTTTTACGTCCTTCTCCATGAGAGTGATGCGCCTACCATGTACTGCCAGGAGTTGGGATGCTTCCAACATCCCGACGATAAAACTCTCACTAGCCTCTTGCAACGCTACAAGCGACTGGGGTTGCCACCTCATTGAAGCCTCAACCTCCCGTGACAGCGACCGAGCGAGAGCTTGGAAACACCGCTTCTCGATCAAGGGATCAGTTATCTCCTGATGACGGCGTATCTCCCGCAACGCCACCGTACCTGGCCGATAGCGTCCCTTCTTAGCACTGCTCTTTTTGACGAACTGCCGTGGCCGCTTCCCAGCAGTAGGCACTTTACCACCCGAACCTAACATCAAGTTCACCATTACTCAACCATAGTCGTCTCACCAGTAATTATATGAGATCCCGCAGATGGTACTGGTGGAGCTGCTATTGCTGCTGCTGATGATGATGTTCTACCTTCAACAGGAGGCAACAATTTTGGTCCTGCAAATGAACGATTATACGACTGAGTAACCGAAATCTTACTGTTCTCAGATCCCTCCCGTGATACTTCTAGAGAAGGCTCTGAATCGCCTCCGTTCCCACTGCTATCAACACTCCCTTCCCCATCACCATCATCTTGACCGTCGCCATGACCATCGCCCTCGACATTCCCTTGATGACCATCACCGTCACCTTCACCATCATCAACACCGTTCCCACCATCATCAGCACCATTCCCATTCCCATTCATCATCACCAGCACCATCATCTGCACCACCAATGGTGGTCCACCATTCCTCGACCCCTCGCCGTCATCACCAGCACCATGCGCATCGTCAGCAGCACCATCACCAGCCCCATCCCCCTCGGCAGCACCGTCACCAGCCCCATCCCCAACATCCCCAACATCACCAGCCCCATTCCCAGCATCACCAGCCCCATCCCCCTCGGCAGCACCGTCACCAGCCCCATCCCCAACATCACCAGCCCCAGCCCCAACATCACCAGCTTCATCCCCCTCGGCAGCACCACCACAACCACTGTCGGCTTCTTCATCAGAGGAATTGTTGCTATCACCATCGTCATCCCCCTTCCCGACAGGCAATCTCACGCCACCATTGTGCGCGGCAGCACATATCAAACTACCATATGATCTACCAATCGCGGCTGCCAAACCGAGCAACTCCTCAGAATGCTCTGCATCAACGGGGCGCGCAACCGACAAGATTTTCCCATCCTTATTCCTCACCATGTAATCCTTCAAGACATCCTCAAGTCCCTCCACGCCTCTGAACGCAATTTCCACGGCATCATCCCTGACACCACAACCCCCTCTAGTTAATAACTCATCGAAACCGACACCCAGATTTTCCACACCTACCATATCAATACACAAAACATTTCAACACTGATAAACCTACCTTCACCATCCTTTCTTTCCTTCCCCTCCCTCCCCGTCTTGCTCGACTTCCCCGCCTTCCTCGACTTCCCCGCCTTCCTCAACTTCCCCACCTTTCCTGACTTCGCCGCCTTCCCCGAGTTCCCCTGATGGGGATGGTTTGTGGGAGTGTACATTACAATAAAGACCCGCTACCCGCTTATCATCACCTAGTTAAGTTTGAGCGTCACGAATTCGCCAGATGATGTCAAAATATGAGAACAACAATTTACAATTATCTCTATCATATTTGGCCACTACTGACGGATTGTAAAATGACAAATTGTAATATTCCTGACCAACAACTTGTAACTCCAATATGAAAACATAATCAGAAACCCGGAGAACATCTTCAAAAGACCATGGCGTGTAACGGCTGGGTAAACTTTGCACGCCCTGGTAATCGATACATGCCCCTGTACACAAAAAAAGACAATGTGCAAACGTGAATCGCAACGACACCAACAACAACACCCCAATTCAACTAAAACTCAATAGCCTGCTCGTTCGATCACCATGACATAAACAACACAACTTCGAGTAGTGGCTGCTCCAACGATGTATGAGATCGTATATCACAACACAAATTATTTCCGACTATTGTTCACCGTGAGCATTCCTGCCATCAGTATCGCACTGAATAGTACACCAGCGAATGCACCAGCGAGATATCTGAAACCGCGCAATCCTACATCACTCTCGAAAGCGAGTCTCACTCTTTAGATAGAACAATCATTCCTCTCAGATGTTTCTCATTCGCTTCCTCGCTTTCCTCAGAGGCTGTCGAGCCCGACGTAGGTTCCAAGGCGCTGATCGGAAGTATAACCGTGAAAATTCACAACACAAGAACCTCGTAAATGCAGTAACTGGGTGGGAACGATATGTGAGGAGGAACGTTAACTGTAGGATTGTGAGGAACGTGAAAGTGACTCACGGGAGGACGATACTCGCCCGTAGGGTAGATCTCCTAGGGCTCCGAGATGGCGAAGTTGGCGATAGATTCAAGTTGAGACTCTGCCTAGATGGTTGATGATGTAAAGTACTGTTACCTGAATTAATATAGCTCGTAAATGGAGACTCCGAACTATGCAAGTAAACAATACAATCGACGATGATTGACCAGAATGATGCTCTGAGTCAGAACACGAGCATCCCCTTGCTTACCGTATTGAACGCTTGCAATGTCGCCATCATCGGGAACCTGCTCTTGTGATGCGATCTGAACACATAGTGAGTCTCACATCTAACGAGATAGGCTCTCGAGAAATGCCAGTCTACAGCTCATGCCACAAGGACGAGAACAAGTAGCAATATTTATCGATCTTGTACAGTTTCACCGAGAGTTTCATTCATCTAAGTGAATGACATTCACCTCTTCTCCAGTGGCCCCTTCCATTTGAAGGTCATTAAGAGGGAACTCTTCAGGGAGGGCATGTGGAACCATAGGAGCACGGAATGACGGCGATCTAAATTACAGAACAGTGTCTGGCCACTTACCGATGCGTGTGTATTGCCTTAAGAACTGCGTCTCAGCATAGCCCATGAGCGAGTCGCCTTTAGGGCGCTCACCTTGAATTATCTTCCATTCTTCATAATATGTTCTAACACGGAACCTGGACCCAAGAGTCGTGATGACGCTCACCGAAAAATTGGAATATATCATACTTATGTCTAATACTAGGAACGTTCGTCTTTTCCACCTCGTTCTTGGATCGGTCCAGTGACCCGACCCAATGGATCTTATCGTTGTCGGGGAATCTGCGTATCGAGTTCCGCTCACACCGGACAATGCCTGGAAAAGCCGCTCACCCGGACATCAAAACCGAGTTCCTCGCGATTTCACACATGTCAACTGAGTTCAGCCTCCACACCTAAAAATGCCTTAAAATTCATACAACACGGACCATTCTGTTGCTCACCTGCTTTGCAATGCTGTACTCCTCGACCAATGGCTCTCTGGTCTGGTGAAACATAAGCGGATCATCGCTAGAGAGACTAACATTGAGCCCTCTCGCGAAGAACGCCGGGAAGGGGTTCTTATTGTATGACAGGAATAACTGATTGTTCGAACACGGCGAAACCGCGATTCCTAACAATTCAGCATAGAGCATCGACGACAAAGGTGAGGACCTACCGATCTGAGCCAGATAGAAGAGATACTGCAGAACAGGGCTCTTCCTGAGATTGATGCCATGGGAAATGTTACTAGCAAGCAAGAAGGCCGTGTCCAAGTGATGTATTTCGCCAGCTTCACCGCAGTGCGGCCTGAGTGCACCACTTCATGTCAACTATTCGTGCATCAGGAATATTCATTGTGAATACGCCTGTAAACATACTCACCTGAAATCAAAAGGCCGTAGCCCTCGGTGTTCCCTCAACATGTTGAGCACTCTGATATTCGCGTAGATGTAGTAACTAAAACTCAGAATCACCAATGATCGCGTTTCCATCACAGTCATAAGTTACCTGTAGTATTTGTAACTTGGATTGTCCGCGAGATCCCACATATCAGGAGTGAGCTGACGGCTCGAGAAGTTGCGGTCATTTGGCATCGGTGATTTCGATTCATCATCAACAGTATCGAAGCCCGATACCTGAAACCAGTGTTGGAATATGTGTTCGCTTTCCCCCGCTGAGCTTGGGAGTCTCCTCACTAATTGTAAGCGTTTGTATACGAGCTCGGATAAGAGTGTACAGAAACCAGCGAGAATTTCCTCAGAGTTTTCACTTTTCTTACAAACACAGGTAGTTTACCATTTGCATATTTTCCCACTCTGCCTGAAACCACCATACGCGACGAACCCCATGCAAACGACTTAGCTACTTGGTCCATGAACTTGTAGACTTCCGGATGCCCCTGGGGATCAAACGTGGCCGCGAAGAGCGGCTCGAATATGTTAGACAGAAATTCTTGGAAATTTTGAATCTGAAAGCACAACGGTGAAAGTTGATACCAATGGAACTCACTTCTCCATTTTTCTTGTATATTGAATACAGTCGTGGGATCTGGATCATCCATCGGTTGTTCTCGTGAATCAAACCGTGATTAAGGACCCACTGAAGCGCAAAGAGCAACCCTCTTATAATATCATCAAAATGCACTAAGAAGGCCAGGAAGTGACAAAATCTGCAGTGTGTTCGATTTAGTCCAAAACGAAAAAAATGTTGTTATGATACTACATATTGATTTTTTCTCTTATGCTCAAAACTTGTGATTTCAAAGCTTCAGATAATTGTCGAATCAACGAAATTATATTCCCGTGAAAATCGCCAGGGCGTCATTGTTAAAACTCGTGTTGTAATGTCAAAATCGAACACACTGTAGTGTACACTCTTTCCATGTTCTCATAGGGTTTCCAAGCTGAGTCTCATGATGAGCTCAACAGAATCGCCACAATGTTTCCTACACGTGAGAGCTTGAGCCACTCGTCCTTCGAACGGCCGTATATCGACAGACGCCATTCCGTATTCTGATATTTATTATCCTTCAGGTCATCCAACAGCTCCTTGGTGAGTTCGGCTAGATAACTACAACACGGCGTGATCCGCATATCACTGCAGGAGGACTCACCGGCCCACCATGAAAGTGTCAGTCTTCAAGAAGATCGTACGTAACATGGGCTCGCCGAGCGGTGAATACTTCGCATTAAAGCGATCAAATCTGAGGTATACATGAGTGTCATGAGATGAGATGCACCGCGCTACCTATACAGAGTGCTCTTGTCTGCAAGCACGTTTAGTTTGTCCAATGACAAGTCGTGAGGCTTCACTCCAAGTTGATCGAATACCTGGACAAAGTCGGAGGGGATTCCAAAGCATTTGAATTTACCTGGCCGAGCGTTTTGCCTGGCAGGACTTCATCATCAGCATGATTGGCCACTTTACGTTTGATGAATCGGAGCAGGTGCTTTGCTGAAAAGAAGAGACTAAGAAACTTATATTCTATGTTTGATCATTAGATCATTGGTCCTCAGAGCTTGTCATGTTGCAGCATACAGAGATCCGGGATAGCATAGATGTGAGTATTATTACCATTCATAGCAGCCGAGTGATGAATATGCGTGTCGACCTTTCTGACGTTATAGAAATCACGATGGGGGATCGCTCCGCATTGAACGTTCTCCTATATAATAGAGCAGCAGTTCCAAGAACGGGAAGTCCCCTGTCCGGGCGTTGAATTAGTGCGACGACTACTACTATCACTGACACGACACTAATCCTCGACTGTGTTCAAGCATTAGGAGCTCAAGAGAGCTCTGAATGTGATCCAGCTCCACTATGGTAACTATCATTGTCTATTGCAGAATGATGAGCTCCCAGGCGTCGGATAAAATTCGCGATTCGGACGATCTCAAGCCGAGTAATCAGTGACCTACCTGTTCAGAGCATGTCATGCCATAGAGCTCGAATTTGGTTTCCAACATTCTCAGCCGCAAAAATGCAAAGCTAGCAGTCGGACCAGACGTACGTATCCTAAGATCACGCAACACTTTCTAATACTTACCCGCATGTGCTAACCTGAATAGTGTATTCATATCATCATAATAGTCCGTTAAACTTGGTATATCAAATGTCGTGTCCGCCTGAGACGGGTTAACTGTGTCACTGTGGATGCGATATACTCCCTCTTCAAGGGTGAAGAAACCAGGGACTTTACCTGCCATTCAACAACATAAGACCAGCATCGTAAATCAGGCAGAGGATATGAAGCGTCGCAAAATTCGACGACTTGTAATATCATTTAAGCAGTTAGTGCGAGAAAAAATGAATATAATCAACTACACGCGTTGGTGACAATATGGAAATTCTAAGGAAATTTTTCGGAGATTTCTTATCGGTTTTTATGCACTCTTATTCAAATTCGTGTGTAAATTCCTGTAATTAGTGAAGAAACCCCTGAATAAGTGCGCATACATCACAACGTTGCGTCAGCATTTAGTATAACACCAGCTGAGTCTATAGAGGCTCAACTCGAGAGCAATGAACTCGGGAGTCTTAGGAGGCAGTACAAACATATTCTTACTATTGGGCGAAATGTAACGAATGTTAGGCGACAATTCGATCGACCGACGACTTCCCCGAGAATAATCGTGTATCTGATAGAACACATCGCATCAGGGAATCATCCAGGAACCTATAATGTTTCCGGGGGAAACTCAATTTGATTTTTCCACGTATGGCTAGGAACACATTTTTCAATCAGTTTCCCATGTAAATGTGATCACGCTAGGAACATTTCCACCATAGTCAGTACCACGTGAGAACGTTATTTCTCAAAAATGGATGTTCCGTGTACCGTATTCCAGCAAGCTCGGGCAAAGGTTAATTACATCAACTCCAATATACTTCTCTCTCAGAGCAAGAGCTTCCTGAAGATCGACATAAACGCCATCCAGCTGAGTTTCAGCACCCGAAGACATAATGGGAGCTCAGGAAGTCAAATAAGGCAACTGAACGAATGGACGAAGCGGCATCTGTAGAACCTTCAGAGTGACAATGCCGATCAAGTTGTGATAATCCAAACTCATGTCCATTCTAACGTACTGCTGAGGGTTCCGAGGTACACTACTCTCTGTTCGGCTTAGCTCTGAAAGGCCGACAAATTGCGCCGCGCAGAAAGCCGAATTCTCGCGAGTGGAAATTTTCCATTAAATGAACACTGTTCCGAACTCAGCAGTGATTGCTGAGATGTGGACAACTAGGTTATAACAGAAAAGAAAAGACAACTGCGTATGCTGTCGACAATCAAGTAGATAGGTGACAATGATTGTGCAATATAATGTCATAGAAGTTCACAGTGTAAACTCTATCTGTCGCCCAGCAGATGTTGTGACATTCTATCCGCCACGCCATACGTCCTCTGCACGTATATTCGAGCCCCGTATCACGCGCAGCGAATTCCTGCACAAGCTGTCCTTCATCACTAGACGTGACGAACAAAATCTTCAGACTGGAGCTTATGTTTAGGTACGACCTTCTTCCTACTAGTAGCTATAACTACGGTACCACACCCAGTCTATACTGAGTCGACTTCCAATCGACGTTAGACCAACATGCGAT